CTGAAATCAATAATATACTAAAAGAATAATACTCTGTAAAGTGGGATTTATTCCAAGTTGCAAGGATAGTTCAACAACTGCAAATCAATCAACACAATATAACACGTTAACAAAATGAGGGATAAAAATCACATGATCATCTCAGTATATATAGAAAAAGAATTTGACAAAATTTAACATCCATTTATATTAAAAACTCTAAATAAAATGGGTGTAGAGGGAACATGCAGCAACATAAAGGCCACATATAAAAAGCCCACAGATAACATCATACTCAATGGTGAAAAGCTGAAAGCTTTCCCTCTAAGATCAGGAACAAGACAATATGCCCACTTGCACCATTTTTATTCAGCATAGTACTGGAAGTCCTGGTCATAATAATTTATGCAATTAAAAGAAATAAAAGGCATCTAAATTGGAAAGAAAAAAAGTAGTAAAACTGTCACTATTTGCAGATGATAGGGTATTATATATTAAAAACTCTCAAAACTCCACAAAAAAAAAAAAAAAAAAAACCTGTTAGAATTAATAAAGACTAATTCAGTAAAGTTGCAAGATACAAAAGCAATATACAAAAATCAGTTGTGTTTTTATTTTTCCTTTTATATGTATCTTTATTGTTGATTATATTACAGATGCCCCTCCTTTTTTCCCCTTCACTCCCTTCTCCCCACTGCCGCCCCCTTCTGTCATCTCCAACTATTGTCTGTGTCTATTGGTTATGCATATATGCATATAAGTTCTTTGGTTTCTCTCTTCCTGCCCCACCTCCCCCCTTCCCTTTAAGGTTCCTCAGTCTAACAACCAATTTGTACTTCTTAATTCCTTCATCTTTTTCATCCATTTCCCCAACCCTCTTCCCATCTGGCAACCAACTAAAAGTTCTCTGTATCTGTGAGTCTGTTTCTGTTCTGCTTGTACATTTTGTTTGTAGATTCAATTGTTGATAGATATGTATTTATTGCCATTTTATTGTTCATATATTTTTTTTCTTTTTCTTCTTCAAGAAGACCTGTCAACATTTCATATAATACTGGTTTGGTGGTCATGAACTCCTTTAGCTTTTTCTTGTCTGGGAAACTCTTTATATGGCCATCGATTCTAAAAGATAGCTTTGCAGGACAGAGTAATCTTGGTTGTTGGTCCTTGCTTTTCATCACTTTAAAGATTTCTTGCCACTGCCTTCTGGCCTGTAAAGTTTCTTTTGAGAAATCAGCTGAAAGTCTGATGGGAGCTCTGTTATAGGTAACTAACTGCTTTCCTCTTGCTGCTTTTAAGATTCTCTCTTTGTCTTTAACCTTTAACATTTTGTTGCTGATTTCTCTTGGTGTGGATCTCTTTGGGTTCATCTTGTTTGAGACTCTGTTCATCCTGGACTTTTTTGTCTGTTTCCATCACCAAGTTAGGGAAGTTTTCTGTCATTATTATTTCTTTTTTTTTTTTTTTTTTCTTTATTGATTTTTTTTTAAAGAGAGGAAGGCAGAGAGAGAGAGAGATAGAAACATCAATGAGAGAAAACATCGATTGGCTGTCTCCTACATGACCCCCATTGGGGATTTGGCCCACAACCTAGGCATGTGCCCTGACCAGGAATCAAAGTGGTGACCTCTTGGTGCATGGGTCGATGCTCAACCACTGAGCCACAGCAGCCGGGCTGTCATTATTTTTTCAAATAGTTTTCAATTTCTTGCTCTCTCTTTTCTCCTTTTGGCATTCCCATGATGCAATTTTTGGTACACTTGAAATTGTCCCACAGGTTCCTTATACTATCCTCATTTCTTTGGATTCTGTTTTCTTTTTGCTGTTCTGATTGGGGTTTTTTGCTTCCTATATTCAAAATTAATGGTTTGTTTCTTGGCTTCATTTACTCGACTATTGATCCCCTGCAAATCATTCTTTGTTTTATGTAGTGCATCCTTAATTTCTGACTGGTTCTTTATCATGCTCTTGAGGTCCTCATTAAGTTCCATGACATTCTCACAAAATTCCTTTAAATTCTAAGTTAATTGAGAATCCTTATTACCGATGTTTTGAACTCTGTATCTATTAAATTGCTTATGTCCATTTTATTTAGTTGTTCTCCTGGAGTTTTGCTCTGTGCTTTTATTTGGGACATGTTTCATTGTCTCCTCACTTTAGCTACCTCCCTGTGTTTGTTTCTATGTATTAGGTAGAGTTGCTATGTCTCCTAGGCTTCCTAGGGTGGCCTGTTATAGTAGGTGTCCTGTAGGGTCCAGGCACAGCCTCCCTGATCACCCCAGGTGGGTTTACAAGTTGCACCCCTTATGTGGACTTTACACCATTCTCTTGTAATTGAGTCTTGATTGCTGTTGGCACATAAATGGGAGGGATTTACTCAGGCTGATCAGTTGCAAGAACTGGCTATGCCCACTGACCACCAACCTCTGACTACCTTGGATGATCAGCTGTGCGGGGGTCCACTACACAGAGCAAGACTTACTTCAACAGGGCCCTGGTACCCACTGAGTCCATTCCTTGAGTGTGTCACTTGTGGAAGTGGTCTGGTGATGTTGCTTCAATGAGGTCTTACACTGGTTGTGCTGGCTCTGCGGCCAGGTCAGTCAGTCATTGCCTGTGTTCTACGTGGGGCCAGCAGGCATAATCTACAAAGGTATCTGCTGATGGCTGTTTCTTGTGCTGGACTTGGAGGTGTCCAGGCAAAGCCACCTGTGAACCAAGGCTGGCTGCTTCAAGTGCCAGGCCTGGGACCGCTTACTAAAGGTATGGGGCTCACTGAGGCCAGGTGCTGCTTGTTTGAGAGAAATCTGAAGCAGGAGCCAAAACAGGCCAATCCTACCGTAAAGCCACTAGAAACGGCTTGGGTGGGCCCAAAAGTTGGGCAGGGCTGGGCCTCAGGAATCACCAGGGTGGGGAAAACAGTGTGAGCCAAGTTACTGGAGTCCCAGATATGGTTCTGCCTGCTGGTCCCATGGGGGAAGGGCTCACCAAAGGAACAATGGCCTCGGACAGCAGATCTGTCCAGAAGAAAGTTGCCTCTCCAGCCCTTGTCCTGATGCCAGACAACTCAGTTCTTCTCAGTAAGTCTCTGGTGCCTTTCAAGCTGCCTCCCCAATGTTGGAGCCCAGAAGGAGCGAGTCTGAGTAAGTCCATGTGCAGGCCCTTTAAGAGAAACTGCCTGAAGCTCCAGCAGTTTCAGCCTCACTCAGCCTCAGTTCCCACTGGATTTTATAGCCAGAAGTTATGGAGACTTCTCTTCCTCACACTGGAACCTGAGCTGGGGGCCTGGTGTAGAATGAGGACCTCTTGCTCTTTAGGGAGGATTTTCCCAGCCAAGGTATCTTTCCTAATTTTTATCTGCCACATGTGAGTGTGGGACCAGCCCGTCTGCACCTCCACTCCTCATTCCAGCCTCGATATAGCTTCTTCTTTACTTTCATAGTTGTAGGACTTCTATTCAGCTCAATTTCAGGCGGTTGTGAAGGATATTTGTTCTGTAGTTTAGTTGTAATTTTGGAATGGTTGTCGGAAGAAACGAGTACCACATTTACCTAAGCTGCCATTTTGACCGGAAGTCTCAGTTTGTTTTTATACACCAATAATACACTATCAGAAAGAAATATTAAGTAATCAATCCCATTTACAATTATTTCAAAAAGAATAAAATACCTAGGAGTACATTTAAACAAAGATGTGGAAGACCTGTACACTGAAAACTATAAGACACTGATGAACAAAATTGAAGACAACACAAATAAATGGAAAGATACTGTATACTCATGGATTGGAAGAAATAATATTGTAAAATGTCCACACTTCCCAAAGCAATCTAATGATCTGCTGCAAACCCTATAAAAATTCTAATGATATTTTTCACAGAATACAATAATCCTAAAATTTATATGAAACCACCAAAGATACAAAACAACCAAATCAATCCTGAGAAACAATAGAGCTGGAGGATTATTTACAGGTGTGTTTGTTTGTTTTCAAAAAGACTGACTTGAGGCCCTGGATGAGTAGCTCAGTTAGTTAGAGCTTCATTCTAATATGCCAAGAATGCGGGTTTGTTCTCTGGTCAGGCACGTACAAGAAACAACCAATGGATACATAAATAAGTGACACAACAAATCTCTCTCTCTCTTTTGCCCTTCTCTCCCTCTCTTTGTCTCTTTCTTTTCCTCTCTCTCTCTTTCTCTCTCTCAATGTCTTTTAAAAATCTAAAAAATCTGCCCTGGCCAGTTTGGCTCAGCGGTTAGAGCGTCGGCCTGCGGTCCGGAGAGACCCGCGTTCGGTTCCCGCTAAGGGCACGTACTTCGGTTGCAGTTTGTCCCCGGCCCTGGTTGGTCGTGCGGGTGGCAGCCACTCGATGTGTCCCTTCACATCGATGTTTCTCACTCTCTCTCCCTTCCTCTCTCTCCCTCCCATTCTATCTGTACAAAAAAAAATGTAAAAATATCCTCGGGTGAGGATAAAAAAAAAAAAATCTAAAAAATCTGACTTGAACAATTGCAAAAATCAACAAAATAAGAAAATTATTAGCTAGCTACTCCAAAGAAATAAAAATAAAAAGCACAATTGCACAAAATAAGGAATGATAAAAGGAGCATTATTACTTATAGAAATAAGAAAAGATTATTTTGAACAACTCTATAGAAATAAATTGGAAAACCTAGATGAAATACATTATTTTCAAGGAAAAGAGTGTTTATCAATACTGAATGCAGAGAGGATTGAGAGAAAAAAAAAATTCTAGAAAACAAATAGAGTAAGTTATAACCCATCCAAAACACCAAGCCAATTAACATGGTTTTACAGAAATTCTATTAAACCTCCAGAGACTAAATACACCCAATGCTGTTTGAACTATTTCAGAGCAGAGGTCAAGAAAGAACATTTCTAACCATTTCATCAAATGAATATAGCAATGAGAGATAAACATGATAAATATTTAAAAGTACATGTAGAAATTTAATATTTGATAAAGGTTACATATCAAATCATTTGTTAAAATAGACATTTTCATAACAAATACTGGGACAATTAACTAACCATTTGGAAAAAGTTAAGATTGAATCCATACTTCACACTATGTACCAGGGTAAATTCCACATGGATCAGAGATCTAACTGCAAAAAAAAAAAAAAAAAAAAAAAGAGAAGTCACACAAGTACTTTGAGAAAATATGGATGAATTAATCTTTTACATGGAAGTGGGAAAATCCAGAAATAATAAAGGAAAATATTTAAACTGTGAATATATCAAAATAAAAATATTTTGTATAGCAAAGAACATCATAATAAAAAATTTTAAATGTCCAAGTGGAAGTATTTACATTATAAAAAGAACAAATCTCATCATTCTATAAAGAGCTCTTAAAATTTTAGAAAAAAAAAAGACCTGAAATCTATGGAAATGTTAGGCAAAAGAACTGAACAAACATGTCAGAGAAAAATAAATGTAAATAACAATTAATGCACAACAAGATCCATAAATTTAATTTAGATGAGATATACAAGTAAAACTTCTCTGATATAAAATTCCTTATATTGGCAAAAACAAAATAAAAATTTTAAAACAGACTCTGGTGATGAGGGAATAGAGACATACATTATGATTTGGAAGTAAAATATAGCACAACTCCACATGAATAGAAATTTGGAAATATCTAACAAAATTTTACATGAATTCCACTTTGACTCAATAACCCACTTTTAGATTCTGCCAGGAAGATATTCCCCCAGAAAGACAAAATAACATGTGCAATGTTATTCATATGGCACTATTTGTATTATCAAAAGACTCAACATCTTAGAGTTCTACTAAAATCAAGGACCGATTGAATAAACTATGGTTACTTCCACACAATGATGTATTATGTAGTTGTAAAAAAAAAAAAAAAAAGAGAGAGATCTCTATGTATTAATATGAAGTATTGTTGATGAAAACAGCAAGATGCAAAACAATGTATATAAGTAAGCTTTCTGGTTGGAAAGGAAAAGAAAAAGATAGGTAGATGATAGATAGATGATACATAGATAGATCGATCGATCGATAAATAGTAGAAAGAGAGAGATTTGCTTATTTACTTATTTTCAAAATGAAACACTAGAAAAATAAATCAGAAACTAAGAAAATAGGCCTATGTAGGAAATAGAGTGGAAGAGATAAGAATGGAAATACTACTTCTCTGAGGATTCCATTTTATATAGTTTTAACTTCTGAACCACATTAATGTTTTATTATGGTATAAAACCTAAGTTAAGCTTGAAATTATGTGCTGCCTTGACATCTGGTAAAATCAGGGGGTCTTGAACTGGAAGTTTCCCTCCTCACTCTGCTCCCTGTGGATAAGGTCCTTCTGTCAAACAGCACTCATTATCAAAGGAACTAGGCACCATTACTGTTTATTTTCCATTAGATAGTTTCAGGTCTCTGCCAGCCCAAAGAATTGTTCAGTCAAGCAAATCACATCCTCCCACAAGAACCAGCAGCATCCCACCATCCTGATACTATAAAGCCTGCCAGCCACAGCTCCTGGTTGCCAACGCTGTTCCAGAGTGTAACCCCTATGTGGCCCTGCATGAAGTACAGGGCCCTTCCCCACTGGAGTTTTGAGTGTATGTGACTAATAAACTGTCTGTCTTATCTGTCTAGTGTCAAGTATGTGTGTTCAGCTACTTTCCTAATTCTAGGGTTAGAATGTTTCCTTCATCAATGGGGTGAATAGAAGGCAATGAAAATATTTATACACTCAAAAACAAACAAACAAACAAAATCAAATTGTAATGTAAGAATATATCAAATTGGTAATATAATCATCCAGTACAAAGAATTACTTCAGTTGACTTTTGACTGTTCATTTTTAGTGGCATGTATCTCAAGATTTAATGGTAACAGTACTATAATTTTAAAATCATTTTATGTATTTGTAAAACAGAGAAAATTAGAAAATATTTTACTAGGGGCCAAGATTTTCAGTGGAATCAAAAAGATAACAAATACAACATCAAAGAAGTTTAAAAAAAATTGTAATGTTAAATGGAGATAACAATAAAGATTCATAATTTTTAAAATAGATATATAGTATCTTTGTCCATTTAAAAGATTTTTATGCAATGCCATCCTTGTAGTAATGAGCATCATTAGCCCAGTTATCTTTGGTTCCATATACCAAGTTAAGGAAATCAGGACTTAGAGAAATGGCTAGAGTAAATACAAGGTGAGAATAGAACATTTTATTGTTCCAGAAAGCACAGATTTACTTAAACATGGTATGCAAGGCAACTGAGAGGAGCTATCAGTGGTAATATTTGACATAACTTAAAATGAAGAATAATGATTATAATTCATTGAATACATTGAATAAATAAAAATCCACAAGTCTATGCTGATAGTAAATAAATTAATGAATACATACTCTTTTTTTTTTTTTTTTGGCCAGCCTTAAAGGTGACATCATCTCCTGATTCAGAAAATTGGTAATTAAAAGAAAACTAGAATTCATCATCTATAATTGGGAGGAGCTTATATAGTTCCTCAGCTAAGGTGAAAAAATTTTTTAACTTTTTAAATTTATTTTATTTATTTATAATTTATTTTTATTGTTGAATGTATTACAGATGTTCCTCTTTTCTGCTAATGACCCCCTCCTCCCTGCTCCCACCCCCCTCCTGTCTTCCTGTCTTTCCCCAAATTGTGTCCATTGGTTATGCATATATATATATATATATATATATATATATACACACACACACACACACACACACACACACATATAAATTCTTTGGTTTATTTATTCTCACACCCCAAAGCTTTTCCCTTTGAGATTTGTCAATCTAACAACCAAGTTGTACTTCTTAATCTCTTCAACTTTTTCACCCGTTCCCCTAACCCCCCTCCCATCTGACAACCAACAAAATATTCTCTGTATCTATGAGAATGTTTCTGTTCTGCTTGTTCATTCTGTTTGTAGATTCAATAGTTGATAGATATGTATTTATTACCATTTTTTTGTTTATATTTTTTATCTTTTTCTTCAAAAAGACCCTTCAACATTTCATATAATAATTGTATGGTGGTGATGAATTCCTTTAGCTTTTTCTTGTCTGGGAAACTATATGTCAATTGATTCTAAATGATAGCTTTGCAGGATAGCATAATCTTGGTTGCTTTTCATCACTCTGAATATTTTTTGTCACTCTCTTCTGGCCTGCAAAGTTTCTTTTGAGAAATCAACTGACAGTCTTATGGGAGCTCCCTTGTAGGTAACTGTTTTTCTCTTGCTGCTTTTAAGATTCTCTCTTTGTCTTGAACCTTTTGCATTTTGATGATATGTCTTAGTGTGGGCCTCTTGGGGTTCATTTTGTTTGGGACTCTCTGTGCTTCCTGGACTTGTATGTCTGTTTCCTTCACCAAGTTAGAGAAGTTTTCTGTCATTATTGTTTCAAACAGGTTTTCAATTTATTGTTCTCTCTCTTCTCCTCTGGCACCCCCAAGATGCAAATGTTGCTATGCTTGAAGTTATCCCAGCGGCTTCTTACACTACCCTCATTTTTTTGGATTCTTTTTTCTTTTTGCTGTTTTGGTTGGGTGTTTTTTAATTCTGTGTATTCCAAATTGATTTACCTAATTCTACTATTGAATTTCTGTAAATTATTCTTTATTTTAGTTAGTGCATCCTTCATTTTTGACTTTGCATCCTTCATTTCTGACTAATAACTTTTTATGCTCTTGAGGCCCTCACTAAGTTCATTGAAGCTCTCACTAAGTTCATTGAACATCCTTATAAGCAGTGTTTTGAACTCTTCATCTGTTAAGTTGCTTATCTTCATTTCATTTAGTTCTTTTTCTAGAGCTTTGTTCTATGCTTTCATTTGGGATGTGTTTCTTTGTCTCCTCATTTTTCCTGCCTCTCTGTGTTTGTTTCTATGTATTATGTAGAGTTGCTATGTCTCCTGTGCTTCCTAAGGTGACCTATTGTAGTATGTGTCCTGTAAGGTCCAGTGGCACAGCCTCCCTAGTCTCCCAGCTGGGCCCTCGAGGTGTACCTCTCATGTGGACTTCACACCCTTCAGTTGTAATTGAGTATTGTTTGCTGTTGGCACATCAATGAGAGGGTTTTACTCAGGCTGATCTGCTGCAAGGACTGGCTGTGCCCACTATCCACTGACCTCTGACTACCTTGGATGATCAGCTGTGCAAGGGTCCACCACACAGAGCAAGATTTATACTGGTATTCACTGAGTTCATTCCTTGAGTGTGTCACTTGTGGAGGTGGTTTGGTGGTGGTGCTTCGCAGTGTTCTGAAGCTGTCCACTGGGTGTGCTGGCTCTGGAGCCAGGTCAGTCAGTCATTGCCTGTGTTCTATCTGGGGCCACCCAGCATGAGCTACCAAGTGTTCTGCAGATAGCTGCTTATTGTGCTGGGCTTGGAGGTGCCCCAGAAAAGCCAAGTTGTGAACCAAGCCTGGATCCATCTAGTGCCATGCCTGGGGCCACGTAACAAGAGGTATGGGGCTCGCCGAGACCAGATGCTGCTTGTTTGAAAGAATTTAGGAATATCTGAAGCAGGATCCAAGACAGGACATTTCTATGGTAAAGCAACTGGCAACAGCTTGGGTGGGCCTGGAAGTTGGTGGGGCAGGGCCTCAGGATATCACTAAGGCAGGGCAAACAGTGTGAGCCAGCTTGCTGGAGTCCCAGGTATGGTGGCAGTCTGCCTGCCCTGTGGGGGAAGGGCTCACCAAAGGAGTAAAGGCTTCTGACAGCACATCTGTCCAGGAGAAAGCTGCCTCTCCAGCCCTCACCCCAATGCCAAACAACTCTGTTGTTCCCTATGTGTCTCTGGCGGCTCTCAAACTGCCTCCCCTCCAAGTTTAGAGTGAGCAAGTCAGAGTAAGTCCATGTGCAGGCCTTTTAAGAGGAGCTGCCTGGGGCTCCAGCAGACTCAGCCTCCCTCACCTTAACTCCCACTGGTTTTACAGCCAGAAGTAATGGGGACTTCTCTTTCTGGCATTGGAACCCTGGTGGGGGACGAGGACCCCTTACTCCTCAGGAAGGATCTCACAGCTAAGGTATCCCTCCTGATTTTATCCGCCACACATGGGTGTGGGACTAGCCCATCATGCCTCTGCCCCTCCTACCTGTCTTGATGTGGCTTCTTCTTCAATTCCGTAGTTGTAGGACTTCCATTCAGCTTGATTTCAGGTGGTTTTGAATGATGGTTTTTCTGTAGCTTAGTTGTAATTTTGATGTGGTTGTGGGAGAATGCAATACAGCATTTACCTACGTAGCCATCTTCATCAGAAGTCCTAACTTTTTTTAAACAGAAAGAAAAACCATATAATAAATTGAAGGAGGAATGATAGAATTAAATGTTACACTGCAATTTTCAATATTTTTGTTTTCAGGCAAGAATCATCAATAAACACTAAATTCACTATGTAAAAAGTTGGTGGGCATCAGGACATTTGCTTGGTGCCAGATGACTTGGCAAGGACAATGGAAAAACATATTTCTACAATGGAAAGGTCTGTCAGCACCTTAACCTAGTGATCAAAATTAGCATTACAAATAGGAAGCAATGAGACAACATGGGCCTGCTGAGATGATGCAACATGAGCCACCCAGATCATCTATGTAACGTCCTTAACAAAATACTATTTAATCTGAATCTACTGTTCCAGCCTCTTCACATTGTTAATGTGATAGAAATAAGGAGCAGTCTAAATAAAAAGAAACATAATAATCAATGCATGATTTTATCTTTGTTGGAAGAACCTGCTATAGGTAGTATTTTAGGGACAATGAGAAATTTTATTATGGACTAGTTAGTAGGTGATATAAGGAACTTTTGTTCATTTTTTAGGTGTATTATAGTATCATAGTATAAGGAAATATTGTTATTTTTAGGTACTTGCTGAATTATTTGTGGTGGAAGTACCAAACTCTTGCAAATCACTTTAAAATGGTTCAGCAAAAGTTAGATGGTAGAGCAAATATAGCAAAATGATAATGATTTTTCAATATAAGTGATGGGTATATGATATTGACCAGTTATTCTTTCAACTTTTCTGTGTTACTGAAAATGTTTATAATAAAAAATTATAAGAAAATAATGCCATTTTACTTATCTGCTTTATTTTATTTTATTCTCTATTTATCATCAGATAGAGTGTGAGAAAGGGAAAGAGAGAGAGAAACATTGATGTGAGAGAGACACATTGACTAGTTGCCTCCTGCACGACCCGACCAGGGTCAGGGATGAACCACAACCAAGGTACATGCCCTTGACCAGAATCAAACTCAAAACTCATTGGTTCTCAGACTGCTACTCTAACCACTGAGAAAAACTGGTCAGGGCTTATCTGCTTTATTTTAAATGCAACAGAGTCATTTCCACTTCTGAGTAATACATGGCCAAGTTTGTAGTTGACCAGTTCTCCCACTGAAAAAAATTTTTAAAACTTGGTAAAATTTAAAAATCCTCTAATGTTTAAAGGCATCAGAAAAGCTGTTGATACAATAGGGACTAGAGGGCCCAAGATTCTAGAGCCAGGAGAACTGTGGAGAGATGTGCTGACTTCAGCAGCCTCTTTTATTTTGGGGAATATTTGTCAAATCTGGACTCAGGACAAGAGGCTAAGGACTTAAACTTTGCCTGAGCTCAGGGTCACTGCTAGGGAACAGAGAAACCAGAGATCTTTGTTGTAGAGACTTGAGAGGCTGATGTCCAAGTAGTATCAGAAGGGCACAAAACTAAGCCTAATATGTGCAGGCTATTTTCTTCCTAAATTCTGGAGCTGTATAGGGCATTATGCTAAATGGCTAAGAAGAAAACTGCTTAAAATTTGAGTGGGGTTTTCTGAGATGTGGACAAGGATTTGAATTCAAGACTATCAGGGGAGAGTACACCAGTGAAAATACCGGGCTCTCAATCAAAAGATCTTGAAAATTTCTTTTAAGACCAGAAGAGAATCAGAGGCAGACAGGACCTTTTAAATGGCTGGTTTGGCTCAGCAGTTGGAATATTGGCCTGTGGACCAGAGAATCCCAGGTTTGGTTCTCGCTAGGGGCACGTACAAAAAAACAACAACAGCAGCAACAAAGCACCTGCAATTAGCATGTTCTTCCTCCCAGGAGCACACCAGTGCCTTTTCTTTCTCTCTCTTCTTCCCCCACAGGCGTGCATCTCCTAAACCCTAAGGTACTCCACTAGACATGCAACCAGGGGAGCAACGGGCAGTGGCAGCTGGTCCCAGGCTAACCCTCTGAACCTGTCTCCAAGCCCCCTTTTCTCTGACTTTTCAGTGAGCCAAAGCAGCTCAGTCTAGGCTCATTTCTTACCTATACCATTTCTAGGGAGCCAAAGCAGCTCAGCCTAGGCTCTCCTGTTGCTTCTTCTATCTTAAATTCTTTCTTGTTTCCTTGTGCCCAGCTTTAATTAACATACTGTCAAAATAAATAAATAAATAAATACATACATACATACATACATACATACATAATAACTGCAACCAGCCTCAACTCTGCCTTATTTGTCTAGAGGGACTAGCTATCACTCTATCTGCTAATCAGAGGAAAAGTTGAAGCATCCCTGAGGGAAGCTAACATTATTTGGATCCTTCACAATGGCTACCACCAAGATCTAAGATGAAGATGACAATGTTCAGAGCATTTTTAAAAATTCCTTTTTTGTGTTCCTTTTTAAGAATAAAGAAAATTTTTCATGCCTAATCCTCTGAGCCAACTTCTCCTTTGTCCTCTTTGCCTATACCTAAATAAACTCTTTGACAAGGATAATGTGATGGTCATGATTGACATAAACCAATTAAAGTTCATCATTATACATACACCAAATTAGCCTGCTGAGAGACCAAGCATCTTTAGAAAAATATGGCCTCTTAGAAGAGAATGAACCCATTTATCATTGTCTTAGCAGGGAAAGAGGGAATGTCAATTGGATAAGCAATCAACAGTGTTGCCAAGTTATCTACCCACTGTTAGTATGGAACCTTGGGCAAGCTATACAATCTCTTTGAGCCACAATTTTTCTATCTGTAAAATTTAGATGATACTAATACCTCAAAAGGTTGCTGTAGTATGCAATAACATAATATATATTGTTCAAAAGCTACTTACAATCATAGCAGGGGACTTCAACACCCTGTTGACAGCACTTGATAGATCCTCTAGGCAAAAAATTAGCAAGAAAACAGAGACTCTAAATGAAACACTAGACCAAATGGATTTAATAAATATCTACAGAGAATTACACCCCAAAACTACAGAATACACATTCTTCTCAAGTGTACATGGGACATTCTCAAAGATAGACCACATGATAGGACACAAACTAAATCTCTACAAGTTCAAGAAGATTGAAATCATATCAAGCATCTTCTCAGATCACAATGGCATGAAACTAGAAATCAATTACAACAAGAACATGCAAAGACATTTCAACACATGGAGGCTAAATAGCATGTTATTAAACAATGAATGGGTCACCGAGGAGATCAAGGAAGAAATTAAAAACTTCCTGCAAACCAATGAAAATGAACACACAACAACACAAAATCTATGGGATGCAGCGAAAGCAGTTCTGAGAGGGAAGTTCATAGCACTACAGGTCTACCTCAAAAAACAAGAAAAATTTCTAATTGACTGTCTAACCTCACAACTTAAAGAATTAGAAAGCAGCCCTGGCCAGTTTGGCTCAGCGGTTAGAGCGTCGGCCTGCGGTCCGGAGAGACCCGGGTTCGGTTCCCGCTAAGGGCACGTACTTTGGTTGCAAGTTTGTCCCCGGCCCTGGTTGGTCGTGCAGGTGGCAGCCACTCGATGTGTCTCTTCACGTCGATGTTTCTCTCTCTCTCTCTCTTTCTCTCTCTCTCTCCCACTCTATCTGTACAAAAAATGGAAAAATATCCTCGGGTGAGGATAAAAAAAAAAAGAAGAAGAAGAAGAATTAGAAAGCAAACAAAAAGAAAACCCCAGAGCAAGTAGAAGGAAGGAAATAGTAAAGATCAGTGCAGAAATAAATGACATAGAGACCAAAAAAACAATTCAAAGGATCAATGAAACAAAGAGCTGGTTTTTCGAAAAGATAAACAAGATTGATGGACCCTTAGCTAGACTTACCAAGAAACAAAGAGAGAGAACCCAAATACACAAAATCAGAAATGAAAGAGGAGAAGTAACAACCAACACCACGGAAATACAAAAGATCGTTAACAACTACTATGAACAACTATATGGCAACAAATTCGACAATCTAAGCGAAATGGACAAATTTCTAGAAACACACAGTCTCCCAAAACTGGAACCAGAAGAGATAGAAAACTTGAACAGACCAATAACAACTAAGGAAATTGAAGAGGTAATCAAGACTCTCCAAGCAAACAAAAGCCCAGGCCCAGATGGTTTCACGGGGGACTTTTACCGAACATTCAAAAAAGAACTACGTAACACCCATTCTCCTCAAATTATTTCAAAAAAGTCAAGAAGAAGGAAGACTTCCAAACACGTTCTGTGAAGCCAGCATAATTCTAATTCCAAAACCAGAAAAAGACACTACGAAGAAAGAAAACTACAGGCCAATATCCCTGATGAACATAGACGCCAAAATCCTGAACAAAATATTAGCAAATTGGATCCAGAAATACATCAAAAAAATTATTCACCATGACTAAGTGGGATTCATTCCAGGGATGCAAGGCTGGTACAATATTCGCAAATCAATAAACGTGATACACCACATAAACAAAATGAAGAATAAAAACCACATGATCCTATCAATAGATGCTGAAAAAGCATTTGACAAAATCCAGCATCCATTTCTGATAAAAACGCTCTGCAATGTAGGAATAGAGGGATCATATCTCGACATAATAAAGGCCATATATGAAAGACCTACAGCCAACATCATACTCAATGGACAGAAACTAAAAACATTTCCATTAAGAACAGGAACAAGACAGGGATGTCCACTTTCGCCACTCTTATTTAACATTGTACTGGAAGTCTTAGCCACAGCAATCAGACATGAAAAAAAAAAAAAGGGATCCAAATTGGAAAGGAGGAAGTGAAACTGTCATTATTTGCAGATGACATGATATTGTACATAGAAAACCCTAAAGACTCCATCAAAAATCTATTAGACTTAATAAGTGAATTTGGCAAAGTAGCAGGATACAAAATTAACGTCAAGAAATCGACGGCATTCTTGTACATCAATGATGAACTCACAGAAAGAGAAACTGAAAAAACAATCCCATTTACCATCGCGCCAAAAAAATTACGATACCTAGGAATAAACTTAACCAAAGAAGTAAAGGACCTATTTGAAGAAAACTACAGGTCATTGAAAAAAGAAATAGAGGAAGATATAAAAAAGTAGAAGCACATACCCTGTTCATGGATTGGAAGAATTAACATCATTAAAATGTTCATACTACCCAAAGCAATCTATAGAGTCAATGCAATCCCCATCAAAATACCAACGACATATTTCAAATACTTCAAAAGTTCATATGGAACCAAAAAAGACCCCAAATAGCCACAGCAATCTTGAAAAAGAAGAACAAAGAAGGTGGGATCACAATACCAGATATCAGGTTATACTACAAAGCGACTGTAACCAAAACAGCCTGGTACTGGCACAAGAACAGGCTTATAGACCAGTGGAACAGAACTGAAAACCCAGAAATGGACCCAAGGCGATACGCTCAATTAATATTTGACAAAGGTGGCAAGAGCATACAGTGGAGTAAAGACAGCCTCTTTACTAAATGGTGTTGGGAAAATTGGACAGCTACATGCAAAAAAATGAAACTAGACCATCAACTTACACCATACACAAAAGTAAAGTCAAAATGGATAAAAGACTTAAATGTGACCCGTGAATCCATAAAAATTCTAGAAGAAAATGTAGGCAACAAAATTTCGGACATCATACGGAGAAGAATTTTCACTGATACATCACCTAAGGCAACAGAAATAAAGGAGAAAATGAACACATGGGACTACATCAAACTAAAAAGCTTCTGCACAGCAAAAGAAACAATCATCAAAATGGAAAGGCAACCCACTGTATGGGAGAACATCATTGCCAATGATGTATCAGATAAGAGGTTAATTTCCAATATATAGAGAGTGCTCATACAACTCCACAAAAGGAAGACAAAGAACCCAATTAAAAAATGGGCAGAGGAGCTGAATAGACACCTCTCCAAACAGGACATACAAATGGCCAAGAGACATATGAAGAAATGCTCAACATCACTAATCATCAGAGAGATGCAAATTAAAACAACAATGAGGTATCACCTCACTCCTGTCAGAATGGCCGCCATCAACAAATCATCAAACAACAAGTGTTGGCGAGGGTGTGGAGAAAAGGGGACTCTAATACACTGCTGGTGGGAATGCAGACTGGTGCAGCCGCTATGGAAAACATATGGTGCTATCTCAAAAAATTAAAAATTGAACTTCCATTTGACCCAGTGATCCCACTGCTGGGAATATACCCTAAGAAGCCTGAAACACCAATCAGGAAGAATATATGTACCCCCATGTTCATAGCAGCACTATTTACAATAGCTAAGATCTGGAAACAGCCCAAGTGTCCACCAGTAGACGAATGGATAAAAAAGCTGTGGTACATATACACAATGGAGTACTATGCAGCGGTAAGAAAGAAAGATCTCTTATCCTTTGAGACGACATGGAGGGACCTGGAAAGTATTATCCTAAGTGAAAGAAGCCAAGCAGAAAAAGACAAATACCACATGATCTCACTCATATACGGAATATAATGAACATAACAGTCTGAGGAATACAGCAGACCCAGACACATGGAAGTAGGGCACAGACTGACATCCCTCAGAAGAGGGGATGGGGGGTGGGGGGGTGGGAAGAGATAAACCACAGAACTTATATGCATGTATGCATGACCAATGGACATGGACAACTAAGCCGGGGACAGGGTGGAGGGGGCGTGGGGTGGGGGGTGCCAATGGGGTAAAAAGGTAAAATATCTGTAACAAAAAAATAAATAAAAATTCATAAAATAAAAAAAAAAAAAGCTACTTACTAAATATCAAGCTTAGTTTTAGTGCTCCAGTAGTGTCAACTGTTATTGTTTTGTTATGGTTTTGAGTTTCCTCTTTAGATATATTCCAGTTGTTGTCCTTTTGAGCATGACAACCCAACTACAACCGTAACCTATATGTCAGGTGTGTAATGAACAGCCCAGACAATAGGACTAGTGTTCAGCTTGCTGTTGTTTTTTAACATGCTTCTCTGACACCTGCAGAGGCAGTTCTAAGAAAATTGGCCAATGGAGTATAAATTGGGGCCCATAGGGAAGACATTATTTTCCTCCATCATTTACTCTCCCTGGTGCCCAAATCTGCCTTTAATGATTTATTAAGTTATTACATTTT